TCTGGGGGATGCCTTGGTGGCTCAGCAGTTGAGTGTCTGCCTTCGGCCCAGGACGTGATGCTGGAGTCCTGGGATCAAGTCCCACATTGGGCTCCCTGCGAGAAGCCTGCTTCTCCCTCTGCCTGTGTCTCTGCCTCTCTCTCTCTCTCTCTCTCTCTCTCTCTCAATCTATGTCTATCATGAATAAATAAATAAATAAATCTTTAAAAAAATAAAAAAGTGAACAAATAACATAGACTATATTGTGTGGTGATAGATGTTAAGGAAAATCCAGTCTTCCAGGGTAAGGAGGGAGGTGATGATTTTTTATACGGTGGTCAGGGAAACACCCTCTAATAGGGCAGTCTTGGCAGAGACCTGAATGAAGAGCAAATCATTGGGGCACCTGGGAAAATATATTCTTAACAAAGGGAATAGCAAGTGCAAAGGCCTTGAGGTGGAAGCATGCTTGGTCTGTGCAAAAGAAACACCAGGGAGGCCAGTATGCCTGAAGCAGAGGGTAGCGACTGAAGATCACTACGAGACTTGGATTTTTACCTTATATGAGGCAGGATGCCATTGAAGGGCTTGAAGCAGAGAAGTAATGTGACCTGATATGTTTTGAAGGGCTGATTCTGACTGTTGTGATGAGAACACGCTACTGTGGGGCAAGGGTAGGAAAAGCGAGACCAGTTAGAAGGCTAATAATTCAACAGTCTGGGACAGAAGTGGTTGCTGGTTGGAACAGAGTTGGAAATGGTGAGAAGCGTTCCGTATTAGTTATCTACTGTTGCGTTGTAACAGATGATTCCCAGTTTTACTGGCTTAAAACAACAAACATTCAGTATCTCACAGTTTCTCGGGTTCAGGAATGTGGGAATGGGTGGTTCTGGCTCAGGATCTGTCTCTCCTGAGGTCTAGTCAGGACATTATGTGGGTCTGCATCAACTGAGGCCTTGACAGTGGCCCTAGGGTCCACATCCAAGAAAGCTCATGCATATGGCGGCTGACGGAAGGCCTCAGTTCCTCATCACATGGGCCTCTCCTCAGGACTGTCTCGAGACACAGCAGCAGGCTTCCCCCAGAGCAAGTGATGAGAGGAAGGGGGAAAGGAGAAAAGTCAGACGTTGTAGTGTCGTGTATAACCCAACCTCAGAAGTGATACACCATCCTTTCTGCCAGATTGTATTTGTCACACACACTGACCGAGGGGAGGAGTTACACAAGAGTGGGGATGTCGGGAGGCGGGCATCTTGAGGAACCAAGATGATTCGGAGGCTGCGAACCACAGTTCAGATTCTGGTTTTGTTGCTGGATTACATCTAGCATGTGAAAGAAAGGAACCAAGGATAACTGTAGGATTTGGAGACTTTTTTTTTTTTTTTTATTGCAGGAGGGAAGATCAGGAGCTATTTTTGAACATGTTACATTTGAGAGCCTATTAGAAATAACTCAAGTGGAGATGTCAAGGGAGCAGCCAGATAAATATCTGAGTGTGGAGTTTCTGGGGAGATGGGCCGGCTGGAGATATCAATTTGGGACTTGTAAGTGCATGGTGCCATTTAAAGCCCGAGCCCGGATCCAGTCCCCTAGACAAGAGAACAGGCACAAGAGCTAACCCCTGGCCCCCCAACGTTTAGATTTGGAGACAAGAGGAGGAGCCAGCAAAGCTAGAAGGCGGGAAGGGACCAGTGAGGCAGGAAGAGAAGCAAGAGTGAGGTGCTCCAGAAGCCAAGGGAAGGAAACATCCCCTCCACCTGAGTGCTGCTGAGACGTCAAGGAAACAAGAGGAACACGGTTCCAGTCCTCTGCCAGGCCTGCCACCAAGGGTGACCCAGACTCTAGGGACCTATCGCCAGCACGTACCATCTTAGTAAGAGAGGTCATTCGGATGAGAAAAGCTTTGGGAGGATCTTGGGAATATGCTAAGGAGGGAATGGGAAAAATCAAACCCAAACATCAATACTTAACAACAGCAAATAATGGTGGCGAGCTATGTATTGTGTGTGAGGCTCTAAATGCTGTTCATGCGTCAGGTCAGCGAATGCCCAGGCGGCCACATGGAATAGCTCTTTTACCTCAGCTACGAGGAGGAAGTGGGCTCACAGAGGGAGTCAGGGTCAGCCCGTGGCCACACAGCTGGGTGGAGGCAGCAGAGCTTCAAACCCTGGCCACTGACCCCTGAGCCCCTCTCTGTGCCCCACGCACACCTCTTCTGCTGCAGAGAGGCCTTCTGAGGGATTCCTTAAGGACTAAGGGGACGAAGGGGGCCAAACAACATCGTTGTCTGGAGTATTCTCCTCTGCTGGGGCCCCCGATGCTATAGGAAGTCTCAAAAAGTGAAACACAGGAGCCTTTGAGCTCACCAGGTGATTAATTCAGTAACTCGGTGCTACTCCGGGGCGAGGGGCCACCAGACAGTCCTGAGACTGCAGCTGTCAGACTGCAGATCTACAAGTCCCACTATATTGCCTGTTTTCCCAGGATCAGGAACCCACAAGTCTTATCCCGAAGCCACTGCTGGCCTACCCCCGCCCCTATATCCTAGCAGGGGGTGCTGGTGTGGGGGTGTCTGGGGCAGGCAAGACACTTAAAACACAAGCAGTGCCAATGCCCCTCTCCAGGTTTTGGTGGAAATCAACCTGGAAATCACATGGAGTGTCAATGAGTGTTTATCACTTATTAGACATGAGCTTTACAATGCTTAGAAAGTAAAATGGACCCTAACAGGTAAATGAAATGTGTTGTGTAGTAGTTCATTTTTTTAAGACTTTATTTATTTATTTTAAAGATTTTATTTATTTATTCTTGAGAGACACACAGAGAGAGGCAGAGACACAGACAGAGGGAGAAGCAGGCTCCATGCAGGGAGCCTGACGTGGAACTCCATCCTGGACCCTGGGATCAAGCCCTGGGATCAGGCCCTGAGCCAAAGGCAGACGCTCAACCGCTGAGCCACCCAGGCATCTCAAGATGTTATTTTTAAATAATGCCTACACCCAATGTGGGGCTCGAACTCACAACCCTGAGATCAAGAGTCACCCATTCCACTGACTGAGCCAGCCAGATGCCCGGATAGCAGTTTACTTTATAACTGTGAAGAAACATGTCTATTTACAATTAAATTAGTGAGGAGTGCTTTGACTGATTGTTATTCACCAAGAAACGGACAGTCTTTTCCCAACATAGTTCTTTTTAAACCACTAATGCATTTTATAAATACTCGCTATAAAGAGGTTAGCAAAATAAGATGTATGCAGTATCAGGAATTGCAGGCAATCAATCCAGACTCAACTGTTTAAGGAAACAAAACAAAAGAAAACCTACTCTCTGCCTAAAAACAAAAAACAAAACAAACAAAAAACAAAAAAACAAAAAAAAAACCCCTATTACATGCTATAATTTAAATAATAGAATGTTTTTTAAGAGTGTTGATTATCAAAGTCCACCCAGAACACCCAGAATGTGTCTTTAAGAATAAGATTTATATTGGGATGCCTGGGTGGCTCAGTGGTTAAGCATCTGCCTTCAGCTCAGGGTGTGATCCTGGAGTCTTGGGATCAAGTCCCACATCAGCCTCCCTGCATGGAGCCTGCTTCTCCCTCTGCCTATGTCTCTGCCTCTCTCTCTCTCTGTCTCTAATAAATAAATAAAATCTTTGAAAAAAAAAGAATAAGATTTATATACTTGATTTTTTGACTCTTAGTGCCCAGTCCTGGCAATGTCCATAATTAGCTCTGGAACTCCAGAAAGTTATATCCATTCTGAGCCTCATTTGTGAAATAGGGATAACACTGGTTATTTCACAAGGATATTGTAACAGTAAAAAGAGAATGCACATGTAAAAGTATTTGCTATTAACTCCTAATAAAATAAAAATCTCTAAAACGGCTTCTAGTTTTAAATTTTTGTACTTAAGGTAAATAAGGAATTTAGTTAAAGGGAATCCTTTTAAGAAATACATACTGAAGTAGTTTAGCATAAAATGATCTAACAAACGAAATTTGCTTCCAACTAATCCAGGCGGAACAGTGACTTTGTGTAGAGATTTTGGCCACATTTTGAGTATCGTTGAAGCCAGGTTATAGGTACATGGGAGTTTGTTAAAAAAAAAAAAAAGTTTGCTTTTTATTTAGAATTTTCATATTGTGAAATCAAAAAGCACAGGGAAACTAGAGAGCAATTTGTCTTTAGCCTACATGCTGATTAAGATTCTTCTTAAAAAAAAATTCTTCTGAAGCAAACCTTGATACTAAAAAGAAATAGTAGGAATTAAAAAAAAATTTATTTGAAAAAGAGAAAGAGAAAGAGAAAGAGAGAACATGAGGGAGGAAGGGTAGAAGGAGGGGGGAGAAGCAGGCTTCCTGCTAAGCAGGGAACCTGACCCTGGATCCTGAGATCACAACCTGAGCCGCAGGCAGACGCCCAACCGACTGAGCCACCCAGGCACCCGAGGAATGGTAGCAATTTTAAATGACTGCCAAAATGCATAAGAGTTCAAGGATTTGATAATTTGATTACATTTTCAAATAACCTTTTATTTTTAACTAGGGGATCCCTGGGTGACTCAGCAGTTTGGCGCCTGCCTTCAGTCCAGTGCGTGATCCTGGAGTCCTGGAATCAAGTCCCATGTCGGGCTTCCTGCATGGAGCCTGCTTCTCCTCTGTCTGTGTTTCTGCCTCTCTCTATATATCTGTGTCTCTCATGAATAAATAAATAAAATCTTTTTAAAAAAATTTATTTTTAACTAAAGGAAACCCATTTTAATGAAATGTTATAGGAAAAAAATATATTTATGCAAATTAAGATTATTAATGGAATTGACATATTAATCTGAAATCTTAAACACTGGAAGATTTTTCCCAAGAGAAATTTTGGGATATGTTAACTATCTTCGGTCTTTAGGTACATAATTACATATCAATATTTCAAACAATGATATGCTGGATATTTCTGAACAAAATCTATCAGTAATTAAAGAGAACTGAGCTAGTAAGTACCTAATGTGCTCCCTTCCTTACCTTGAAGATGGGAGTTCTCTAGGAACGCTCCATGAGAATCTTTTGTTTCTCCGGGCTTTGCTGATCGATACTCACTCCTCAGAGAGATCTTCCACCATCTAAAAATTACCTGTGATTGAATAGAAGGGGATAGGAATTACAACTGATTCCAATATCAACAGTGACAGTTTGGTCTGGGATTTCAAAAAACCACTGCAGTGGGCACATGCGGCTCTGTGTCTAACATCAGCTGTAACTTTGCAATCTGGCATCACTTCAAATTAGAAGTGGGGTCTGTGCATCAGTGAACATCTTCCTTAGAGATTAGGGTCACAAAATCAAAGCGCTGGAAGGGATCTTAAAAATCTGTCAAGTCAATTGATGTTAACATCACGCAGACTCCAATGGCCGGCTGTCTCTTGAGGATCTCTGTGAGTAGACATTCCCTAACTTGGGGAGCCGGCTCCAAAGCAACTGCTCCGTTCTCTGCCTCCCTTCCTGTCTACAGGGCAGACCCAACGAGTGGATACTTTCTTCATAGAGAACGACAGTTCCATGGCCAGGACTGGGGAAAGCACCATTATGCTTTGTCTGATGCATAGAAGTGTCATTACACAGGACGCTTCTTGTAATGGATCTGCCAATGGTCCATTTGGCCTCTAGAAGCAAGTTGGGTTTCTCCCAAGCAAACCTCATTTCCATGGTTATGGGCTGCACGTTAAGTTCTATGTTGATTTCATGACAGTGTCAACTCCTGGCCCTGACAGGAGCCCCGGAGGCTCATCCAAATTTATCTCAGGTTCTTCAACCTGTAATGGAACTGGGTAGTTAAGTGAGATGACAAAGCTTCCACCAAGTTGACAAGCAAACCAGATTCTTTCCACACTTAGATGAGGGCTACGGGGGAGGAGATGGGTAAGGGGACAGTGCAGAGAAACCGGTCACCTTCCTCTCTCACTAGCATCGCCGTGTAAGGTCGCAATTATGGTCAGGAAGGCTCGGCCTAAGGCAAAATTGCTAAGCAGGTGAAACTTGTCATAGATCCTCTCGTTCTTTACTGTTTCCTCTCCCCCATCCTCACCCACTCATTCTTCCCTGGGGTCCTCACAGGTCCTGGGTATGCCTCTGTGGGCCACTGCCCTGGTCCCTACCGGTCCTTTGCCCCTGTCTCAAGGCCCTTCTTGGTGTTGTTCTGGAAGCCCTGTAGCTTTCAACTGCCCAATTGCTCCTCACTTCTTTCTCCCTGTTTGGAGGCCTGGGCTTCAACCAGTTTTCCTCTCCTTGTAGAGCTGCCTCCCTGTGTCCCATCATTCCTGAGGCTCTTCTGCTACCCTTCACCCCTTCCGTGATATCTAAAAGATAACTGAACTCTCAGGGCTCTGGACCGTTTCTACCATCTTACCTAGCATCCCACCCAACAGAAATTACGTTCTTTAAGGGGTTACTGTTCATTTAGGATTTGTGACGATTGCTATAATTGTGGGGAAAAGAATGTAAGTTACAAAGCTCTATAAAGTCTCACAAAATCACAGTAGCTCGTTCCTTTCAGAAAATCACTAACCTGCCACTTTTGAGGTTCCTGAGCAGGCACTTCACCCGAATTCTCTTCTTAAACATCTTTCTACCCCATCTCCAAAGAGGGGAGGGTGTATTAGTCTCTCAGGCTGCCATAAAAAAAGACTAGGGACTTAATGAAAGAATTTATGCCTTCACAGTTCTGGAAGCTGAAAGTTCAAGATCAAGATGTTGGAAAAGTTGGTGTCTCCAAGGCCTCTCTCCTGGGCTGGTAGATGGCCACCTTCTCCCTGGGGCCTCACATGGCCTTTCCTCTGTCCCTGTACATCCCTGGTATCTCTGTTTCTTTTTTTTTAATTTTTTTTCTTTTTAAAGATTTTATTTATTTATTCATGAGAGACACAGAAGGAGAGAGGCAGAGACACAGGCAGGGGGAGAGACAGGCTCCATGCAGGGAGCCCAGTGTGAGACTCGATCCTGGAACTCCAGGATCACACCCTGGGCTGAAGGCAGTCGCTCAACCACTGAGCCAGCCAGGCATCCCAATCTCTGTCTCTTAAAGACACCGGTCACATTGGATTAGGGCCCCATCTTTCTGACCTCATTTAACTTTAATGGCCCATTCAAACATGCTATCACCAAATATAGTCACCCTAGGGATTAGGGCCTCAACATAAGAATTTTAGGGGGACCCAATTTAGTCTCTTGCAGAGCTATCTGTGATAGTACCTGTTAGTGTATCTATCTGACACACAGGGGCATCAGTAGAAATAGCATTAATTCTGGAGAGAGACAGAGCTTTGCTATTTAATCCTTCTATTAGACATCATCGAAATTAACATTAAATATGATAAATATTTCCTTTCTATTGAATGACGATGCCAGGCAATCTGAATCTAATGCTGTGTCCTTTGTACGACATGATCTAGAACTTTTAGAACTAATTGGGAGGTCAGAAACAATTTAGTTCATCCCTTACAACTCATACAGAGGAGCAAAAAGTCTCCAAGAGGTTAAGTTAGGAGTGGGTTGTCCCTCCCTACGATCATACCACCAGGGGGTGTGTTACAATGAAAGCCAGTCTCGGATTGAACCCTGCCACAAGAAAGACACCACCAAGCAGCCACCACAAGAGTCCAAACTACATTTCTGGATGCTCAATGGAGTCCCCTCCTTGACATGCACTTGGGCACTCTGCGGGACAGGAAATTTTCTCTCCGGAGCAAGTGCACCTATATTACATGACATAATCAGCTATCCTTCTCGCCAGATCAAGCAACTAAATCCCTGGTTAAGTGGAGGATTCCTGAGCAAATGGAGTTCTAGATGGGCACTACTCCAGCAATGTTGTTACTGAGCTTAAAAAAAAAAAAAAAAAAAGACAGAGAGATGTATACAATTGTTGAATCACGATATCCCATTCTTGAAACTAATATAACACTGTGTGTTAACTATACCAGAAGGAAAATAAAATAAAATTTTTAAAAAGAGAAACACTTGTACAATCTTACTTGTCTCATATCTTGCACATTACTCATTTTATCAGTGAAAAATTATTTCTGACATTCATTATACTAATTAGTTAACCCTCTGGTACTGATTTAGAAGGCAGTATTTGAAGTGCTTGCAATAATGGCCTCTAGAGGGAGGGTCCTCGGGGCACAGACTCAAGTTAACTTGCACACAGATAAGCATCCTACTGGCTCCTCTGAGGTATTTAAAGTAAATTACTGAGAATATAACACTTGCCTAAGGAAAGATGACTGGCTAGAACCGGAATCCAAGCCTCCTTTCTTCTAACTCATAAACACAGGGTTTGTTCTGAGGCACAAAGCTTTCTTTAAATATGACCTTTATGCTACAGGTCAGCAGATCACCTCAACAGAGCAGACCACAGAAATCTCATATTCAGAATTACTACCCAGCCTTGTCAAGACTCATCTATTCCCCATATACTATACTTATTAAGTTAGAGAATTATTTTCTACCACTTATCGTCTCTCATATTGGTAAAGCTGTGTTTTTGGTTTTTTGTTTGTTTGTTTGTTTTTTAAGTGACAAAGCCTAATATTGATAAGAACAAGGAAAAATAAAAGGCATTAATAATCATTCAGAAGGGCATAAATTGGTTTGGCAATACCCATTAAAAACCTTAAGTTCATTCATACCCCTTGACCCAAACATTCTACCTCTTAAGAATTTATCCTCAGGAATTTTTTAGAGATGTGTGTATAACATTTTTAATGAAGGATAGTTGGAAGAAAGGCAGGCTGGGACAAGGGGCCACGCCCTTAATGGATCCCACCCTTAAAGGGATTTTACACCACCCTGGAAGGAGCTCTCCACCCTTTCCCAAGTGATAGGTAGATGACAAAACCTGTTCGGATGACAGGCGCATGGAGGGTTAATCAGATTAAAACAGCCCACACTAAAGAGCCTATAAAAACCAAAAATAGAAGATCTAAACACCAAATCGGTAACCTGCTCAGGTCCTTTCCCTCTTTGGGAGCTTTGTACTATGGCTCAATAGCCTTTGCTTTGCTGACCACCACTGTTCATCTGGTCTACCTCTTCATTCTAAGCAGCGTGATCAAGAACCGCAGGCAGTAAAGGAGGAGATATCCTGTAACATTTTCATATATTTGTCATAGGTTAATTATGACAGTGAAAAATCAGAACTGACCTGAAGTTTTGATAGTTGGGACTAATTAATAATTATGGCACGTTTAGCTGATGGAATACTTTGTGGCCAATAAAAGAATAGGTGAAAACATAACTTAGAGCAATGTTAATGATCATTTGTGGAAAAGTTCAAATGTGTATACACCACTAACCCAAATACTGAAAGGAAAACACATATGCACAGGGAAGAAGCATCAGTGGGGCAGTAAATACAACTGTTTCACATGACAGATACAGCTTGAAGGAAGCCGAGCTAAGAGACATCTCCCAAATATTTGTGAAGTAGGTAGGTGCTGGGCAGCCCTGGTGGCTTAGTGGTTTAGCGCCACGTTCAGCCCAGGGCGTGATCCTAGAGACCCACGTCAGGCTCCCTGCACTTTCTTTCCTTTCCTTAGCCCTCTTTTCAACTATTCCTCTGACTGTGTCCTGTCACTCAAATTTTAAACTGATACGTTTTGTCTGATGAAGGAGTGATTTGTAAGATGACACGTTTATAGGGACTGTACCAAACACCAACAATTGAGGTTATCTGTAAGAGAAGGTTATATATATGAAACCTCTGGTAACTAAAGGGCAGGAGCAATGAAAGATAAAAGTCAGATATGCAATGAAAGAGAAAAAAATGCTACTTGTTAAAAAGTTTCTTTGATTGAAAATATTTCTGCAATTTTAGGGCACTTGCAAATCATCTTAATATGGATCTTGTTAATATGCAGATTCTTATTTAGTACTCCTGAGAACTGAGTATGCACAAGACCACTTCTCTGTGTCTCTAATAAATGGATAAAATCTCTAAAAAAAAAAAAAAAAGGAAAAAGAAGTAGGTGTTAACTATTCTGGTATTAGCTCATCTTAAGTCATATATTCACATATAGTTATTGTTATGTATTTATCTCTATTTTGAAAACCTTAAAGTCCATAAATACAGTTTTA